AAAGTAATCCATGTGACTACAAAATATTAATTTAATCAAAACCAAGTCACTGAAATGTAATAATAGCCTACTTCTGTGAAAGCTTAACTGAACTGAACTGCGGCCAGTTGCATAGCCACTATGTTAAAACTGTCTTAAGAACAAGTTGGACAAACTAGCAGTTAACCGATTTGAATTCAGTCTTATTTTTCAGATTCAAATTAGACCAATCTACCTTTGACTTGTTAGTGAGTGAGTGTGTGTGTACGTGCATGTGATGTATGTATGTGTGTGAGACAAAGAGAGGGTGAGAGATAAGTAAATTAGTCCACATTAGACTTTTTAAAAACCTTTTTATTTAAAAGAGAGACACCTGACTATTGAAAGTTTGTTTTTTAATTAATCCATAAAATAAAAATGTTGTTATGCTGTGGCAATTACATGATATGAGACAGAATGTTGGAACGGTTGCAACAACATGTTGACAGCTGTGATAAAACTTGCTATACTAGCTTGATACAATATCTTTGACACACATAGCTATGACTATTAGAAGCTAAGAAAACACTGATTATAATATGACTTCACAGCGCTTCATGCAAACAGCCTAGTATGACAAAACCTTTAATCATACAAAATAACTTATTTCACCAGGATTTTTTTTTAATATCATCACTGTAGCTCATTCCTGATTGAAGCAATAAACCATGATGCAACCGCCCCCACTCTCCCCTAGTTCTATGCAGGTCTTGACCGCATTACAGTTCCATATCACTTCACCAAATGTTTTCAGTTATTTCAAAGGTGCTTACAGCCTACAAAAGCAGAAGAACCAAATGTTTTATCTACGTAAAGCACGCATTCTTTCTCCTGCTCTCTCTCAGTACAAACGCACACATACTGACACGTGCACTGCACAGAAACTTGTTTGTCCGAGCTGCCCTACGACTTAATCACTAAAATATTTCAGCAGCTGAAAAGCTACATGACATTTCTCACTATAGCGAGGTAATTATGTTGTTGTTCTTGGAGCAGTAAATGTGCAGTTAATTAGTAAATTCTTGCATGGCCGAATTTGGCTGAATATGGCTTAACTTCAAAAGATCAGGGTTGCGTTTCCCAAAAGCATAGTAAGCCTACAGTCATGGCCAAAAGTTTTGGAAGTGACATACATTTTTGTGTTTTGCAAAGTTTGCTGCTTCAATATTTGTAGATAATTTTTTCACATGTTTCTATTGTATACTGAAAACCAATGCGAAGCATATAAGTTTTAAAGGCTTTTATTGGCAAAAATATATATATATAATGAGTCAATATTTACAGTGTTCTTCATAACCTCTGCAATTCGCTCTGGCATGCTGGATATTAGCTTCTGGGCCAAATCCTGACTGATGGTGATCCATTGTTGCCTTATTAGTTCTCGGAGTTTATCACAATTTGTGGGCTTCTGCTTGTCCCCCCCCCCCTTTGGGCCCCCCTTCCCTATTAATATAATAGGCCTAACATTACCACACAAGCAAACAAAAATATTGGCTTTTGCCTTGGAACTCTCCCATGGATGCCGTTTCATCTGTAATTACTTTAGTAGTTATTTCCACGAGTACAAATCTTAATGTTTAAGCATATAATGATATTCTAGGGAATTGTGTGCTTCTAATTTTATACCAATAGGAACAGGACCCTTTTCTTTTCTAACACGACAATACCTCTGTGTATAGGGCAAAGTAAAAAAAATGCCTTATACACAGAGGCATTGTTGTGTTAGAATAGAAAAGGGTCCTGACTCCTGTCCAAACTATTAGTATAAAATTAGAAGCACACAATTCCCTAGAATATCACTATATGTTTAAACATTAAGATTTGTACTCGTGGAAATTAAAGTAGTCAAAAATGTTCATTAAAAGGTGGTGTCCCAATACTTTTGGCAATATAGTGCACAAGCCAACCTAGCCTTTAAAGTCACACCAGAGGTGTTCAGCTGGGATTAGGACTTTGAGTAGGCCCTTAGATTCGTCCTAACTCCCCCCCTAGCGGCGCCCCTGCTCAGCAGTATTCAGCAGCAGCTTGCTTTTGACTATTAGGTATCAGTAACATAAATCACTCAGAACCTGTTTTATGGACATAGACTTTCTGTACCACACTATTCTGCTGATATGGAATGAGTTTGACTACTTAATCAGCTATATTAATAGAAATGCTTCACTGGGGCAAACAAAAAAAATGTTCTCAATCATAATCTTACTTAGCTAAATGTGACTATTAGCTTAACAGCTATAGTATATAGTATAGCTATAGTATTCTTTGTTTGCTAGCTAACGTTACCTATGCACATACAGCATACAATGTTCTACATTATGAACCTTAACCCAAAAACCTTTAGCTTCATACACTGTACATAATTGTGACCCTGCCTGTGGAAACCCAGCTAAAGTATTTTTCTTAAACAGTGGATGAGTAATTCACTCTTCGATTTGTTTAAAATCCTCCTTTGAGATCTTTTTGACAGACATGTTGTGTATTATTTTCAAAGTGTTTATTGCGGCAAAATAGAAGCGCAGCCGTGTATCCGGTTGCCATGCCAACCTCATGCGCTTCCTGCTGCTGCTCTATGTAATCCGAGTGTGAATTTGTAGATTTTCTATAGCAAAACTAAAATGTGTTTAAAAGTGCGGCTGACCAAGTCGTCTGGCTTGGTTTGCCCCCCTCGAACTCGAAGACATCTCTAATTTGACAGTAGTTTACCATCTGATCTCACTCAGTGACTCTAGGCTACGTAGGAAGGGACGAAACCATGCAGTGAATGGGGGGAGATAATTTTACCGGAAATGGAGAAATAAGCCTCTTTGGTAGATACATTTATAATTTCTATTATATTACTACTACTACTGTTATTACTAATAAAACAGACCTCTGGGAGCCCCAAAAGTGCGTGGGCCCTTAGATTCGTCCTAACTCCCCCCCTAGCGGCGCCCCTGCTCAGCAGTATTCAGCAGCAGCATCTACTAATAGCGAATCTTCAAGTTGAACTGCTTCAAGAACCTCGCTACTGAGAAATGTTATGTAGCTTTTCAGCTGCGAAACTCTTTTATTGATAACTGGGCAGCCGCAGCGCTGATGACAAGTTTCTGTCCGCGTCTCCGCATGTGTGCGCGAGTGCATGTCTATGTGTGTGTGTGTGTGTGAGAGAGAACGGCAGAAAGAAAGCGTGATTTCCATATATAAAAAAGGTTGAAGACATGGAAATAGTGTGTAATTTTTTCCCTATTGTTTGTTATATTTATTTGTAGATATCCCATAGTATAACAAAAATATTATATATCTCTTCATTGTGTTTGGTCTTTGGGATTGAGATCCGGGGAGCTGTCTGGCCACGGATCCAAAATTTAAATGTAAGGATCTTTGAGCCACTTCTTTATCACTCTTGCTTTGTGACATGGTGCTCCATCCTGTTGGAAAATGCATGGATCATCACCAAATTGCTCATGTATCATTGGAAGAAGTACCATTCTTTATTCAGGGCAGTGTTTTTGGGCAGAATTATGAGAGAACGCACTCCCTTGGCTGAAATCAACCCCACACATGGATGGTCTCAGGTTTACTGTTGGCACAACACAGGACTAACGGTAGCGTTCACCCTTTCTTCTCCGAACAATCGATTTTCCAGATATCCCAAACAGTCAGAAGGGAGCTTCATCAGAGAAAATAACTTTGCACCAGTCTTCTGCTGTCCAATCCTTGTCCTTCCTGCAGAATTTCAGTCTGTCCTTGAGGTTTTCCTTGGAGAGAAGTGGCTTCTTTGCTGCCCTTCTTGACACCAGGCCGTTGTCCTCTCACACCAACCTGCTGCCATTCCTGAGCAAGCTCTGCACTGGTGGTGACACGATTCCGTAGCTGACTCCTCAGGAGGAGATGGTCCTGGTGCTTGCTGGACGCTCTGGGACGTCCTGAAGACGTCTTTACTGCAGTCGAACCTCTCTCCTCGAAGTTCTTGATGATCCGGTGAATGGTTCTTTCAGGTGCAATATTCTTTGTAGCAATTTCCTTGCATGTGAGGCCATTTTGATGCAAAGCGATGATGGCTGCCTCACTGTGCGTGGTTGTCCTCTCACACCAACCTGCTGCCATTCCTGAGCAAGCTCTGCACTGGTGGTGACACGATTCCGTAGCTGACTCCTCAGGAGGAGATGGTCCTGGTGCTTGCTGGACGCTCTGGGACGTCCTGAAGACGTCTTTACTGCAGTCGAACCTCTCTCCTCGAAGTTCTTGATGATCCGGTGAATGGTTCTTTCAGGTGCAATATTCTTTGTAGCAATTTCCTTGCATGTGAGGCCATTTTGATGCAAAGCGATGATGGCTGCACGTGTTTATTTGGAGGTAACCATAGCTAACAAGAACACAATGATTGGAAGCACTTCTTCCCTCCTTTTATAGCAATCAGTCTGCTTTTACAATCTAATTAGTATGATAGTGATTTCACCTGACTAGTACTCATTCACACTTTCACATGTGCTGCTGATATGATTAGTCAATTAATGTTAGCTAGTCATTTTGTGTCAGGATCAAAAACACAGTGAAATTAGTTTTTTTGTGAAAAGTTCATTTTTTGGCCAATGAAGCAGTTATTAGAAGTAATTTTAGCAATTATTTCAAATGCATCTGACCACTCTGCACAATAATCTATAAACAATGTGAATGAACACCACAACAGCTTAAGCAGCAAACTTTGCAAAACACAAAATGTATGTCACTGCCAAAACTTTTGGCCATGACTGTATTGCTGTCAACAGACCTGGAACTACTCACTAGTTTTTGAAAATAATTGCTCACCTTAGAGCATTCATCAACCAATCAGAATCACACATTTAACAGTGTGGTATAATATACATATTATGCTATTTAGTATCCTAAGTGAACTTATTATTGTCATGATTTTTTGGTTTAGTTTTAGTAATATAATCTACAAGCATGATTCCCACAAAGGAGGACCTTTTGATTAATAATCATTTATTATGTATTTGTAGGTTGTATGGACTTATATTGGTAATGAAAGGAAGAAACCTCCACCAAGCTTTTTGTCTCAGCACGTTCCAGGACTCTCTAACTCTCCAAACTCCACTTCTTCAGGATTCAGTTCAGAAGAGTCAGTTGTAAGGTCATTTTTCTCTGAATTTGGAATCAGTTTAGATGGCTACTCCAGGTTACAGCAGGCTGTTTACTGGGACGGGCCTGACAGGTCAATCACAAGTGTGTCCATGAGTACTAGTCCAGCCCACACCACATTCATCATTGAGAACCTGAAAGAGAGCTACCAAACTGGTGAGGAGCTTTTTGTTACGGTGCACGCAAAGGACTTTGACAGTAAATCCAAGAGTTATGGAGGCGACTTTTTTCAAGCCAAGCTGTTCTGGTCTAAAACTAAGGTGAGTGATTGAACACATTATTTTACTAGAACTAATTAGCTGTTGTAATGTACCAGGGTCAGATGGAGAGAGTTGTACTGAGAATGTTCCTCTGTCACAGGCCAGTGTGTTTGGGGAGGTGGTGGACCTGCTCAATGGCTCCTACTCTGTGCGTTTCCTCCTGCCGTGGGTCGGCGAGGCCCAGGTGGCTGTGCGTCTAATTCACTCCAGTGAGGCTGTGCAGGTCCTCAAGCATCACAGAGATACTGACTCTGACAGGGTGTACTTTTATGGATTTTATGAGGGACCAGGACCAAATAAGACCAGGCTGAGTCCGTTATAATCAAGACTGTCAACACTGGCTATAAGGTAAGCTTATACAGTATCGTGTGTTCAAATACAAGGAGGCCACACTGTGATGGCACGTTCAGGGTTGATGTTGCGTTTCTCTGTCTTTTTAATAGGATATTTTCGGGAGTGATTGGTATTCTCTACAGTTGGACAGAATTCTGCGTTGGGCTTTTCAGGATGTTGGTGTTTATATTCTGGATGTGTGGCAAATGACGGCCTGTCACTACAGCAAAGAGAACATTCATCCAGGCCCTGTCATCATCAAAAACGAGATTGACGTTTTACTTTCTTTTATTTGCCCTGAATGAAATAAAATTATCTTGCCAAGTGAACATTCAGTTTATTATAGCAATTAAAAACCTTTCCTTAATTCTCCACTCCAATAATTTTTAAACATTAAAGTCATTTATTTAAACAGGCGTGTGCACGTTTACAACAAGTCACCTGAAATAACTAATACTGACACATTGGAGATAACTGGAGTTGTATTCCTGCTTCTGTCTATATGGTCATAGCTGAATAACCAATTTGGGTTATCACAAACATAAATAATGTAGACGATAATTTACTTAGCTTTCCCTGCATAAGTATTTTATCTAAATTCAATTAGCTCAAAATTAAATCAAATAAAAATAAAAGCAATGCCATGGCCAACTAGAGATGGTTAATTCAATAAGAATCCACAGAAAATAGCTCAAATCCTTAACAACAAATGAGACAAAAAATAAATAAATAAATACTAATAAAAAACTCTGTTAAAATAGATCTGTATTGAGTCTTGGAGTGTAAATGCAAACTAATAGACCTGCCACTTTTTACAAGTAATATGATTCTTTATTCCTCATTTTATCTGTAGGGTAGACTGAGTACAGTTGAGACACTTTCTGCTTTTTTCATCACTACACAAAAACTAGATGCTGAAATGAAGTGATTTTTCACAATATATTTCTTTTGCTTATGTACTAAAATATCATAAATTGATAATAGCCATAAGTAGTTTATATTTTTCACAATTAGCTCATAAACATAAGGTGCATTTTTGTCTCAACTGTACCCATATGGTGTACAGTTGTGACAGTACCATGGTACAGTTGAGACACCCATTCTTAATGCTCTAGAGCTGGCTAACCACTTATTGCAAATGTAATAAATTACAAAATTACAGTAGTGCATTAAAAAAAAATGCTTTATTTAATTCAGATTCAGTTAAACAAATAGGAACACATATTTAGCACAGTATAAATGTAAATATAACAGGAAAAATAACAATATACATATCGGTATATTCTATGACCCTACCCCTAAATCTACCCATTAATCGAAACTTTCTGCATTTTTACATTTTGTAATCATTCTGTATAAATTATAAGCTTGTTTCCTCACGGGGACCTAAAAAATGTTCCCATAAGGTTAGAATTTACTGGTATTACTATACTTGTGGGGACATTTAGTCCCCATAGGTAATACCACTACACAAACACACACAGCCTCTGAATATGCATTTTATTTTCTATGATTGAACTGTTACTGTATACATAGCGACCTATAAAGGGGGTATCAACTAAATAAAATGCTATGTAATCCTTTTAACATTCCTGTTAGAAAACATTTCCATTAATAATAGACAGTTAAAATATCACAAATATAAATTTTTAACAAAATTTGCGTAGCATGTGTGTAAATGTGACTTTTAACTTATCACAACACTGTACAACTAAACAGCATGTGAAGCAATAGGACACCAATACGGGTACAGTTGATACACTGTGTCTCAACCGTGCCCCACTGACATACTCACACGTTTCTCTAGATTATGAAAAGACCTTGCATGGCACAATGTCATGAAATATGTCTATTTTTAGAGCACAGATTAACGTTTGCAATGATATATGGGAAATTTAACAATCATAAAAGAATAATAAGCTATTCATTGCGGAAAGGACATGGCGAAGTGCAAATCTCACCGTGTAAAAAAAACGTTTGCGATATTTTTGGAGCGGAAAGACGCACACATTTCAAATTTCCCACGATCAAAGAGAACAC